CTCTCCTCGCTCCTCTCTCCCATCTCAACTCACAACCCGTGGTGGGGTCATCCCTGTGCTCCGTGCTCCACTCTGTCATGCCATCCCAGCCCCCCTTGACCCAAGTCTCGTTGCCAGAACGCTCACTGAGTCGCTGGGTCTCTAAGTAGCTGAGTCGCTACCACTTGGGCAACTTGAGAACCCCCACGTGCCACTCATTAAGGCTCTTCCCGAATCCCATGCGCCCCTACAGGTTTCGGCTTCTCGATACTGCGTCTTGGTCACCTATTTGAATCCAAAGAATAACTACGCCAGTTACATTGGAGGTAATGGGTTGGGCTCATCCGCGCTCTGTTCTCTGGCTTCCCTTTCACCAGCACCTTCCTTCCCCTTTCCCCACCGACCTTCTGCCCATGCATACTCTCCTGCCTCTCTCTCCTCTTGCCACTCCACGCAATGTGCTGTGCTGCTCATCCTCTGCCATCCACCCATCACTCCTCACAACACGCCTACCAACGCCCATAGACCCGTGCATGCAACCTGATAGTTTGAGCAAGCATCAACTGGATGGCTGCGCTGAACGTGACAGGGTTAATTCTGGAGCCCTCACAAACAGGAGACCAGATGGTCCATCACACCAGTCCTTAATCATTATCGCCATGCAACACTGTTGCCATGCTCCACTGTTTTTCCCGTGCTGCCTTCTCATTCCGCCACCCCTCGCTTTCTCCCTTTCCGCTGCCTTCCACTGCGGGTGCATCATGCATGTGGTGGTGGCACGGAGCAGAGCCGGGGCTGTTCAACAAAGTACCTCTTTTTCAACTACACCAACAACACTTTGGGATGGCTTCAAGCTCCTCAATGTAAGCTGCCCCTTGACCCTTTCGACTTGTGTACATTCATTGACACTGCTTGCCGCGCACATCCTGCACCTGCTACTGCTGTCGCTGTGGTGTTCCATTTCAAGCAGGCACGTCCTTTACTTGCAATAGCGTTTGCATTCCCACCACAGAGCACCAAGTGCTTCGATTCTATCTGCGCAGAACAATCGTGCCCAAAACCTGTGGGCTTGCTTGCTATGCAACATATTGGGAGTGTATGCTTGCTCTCCCAATATCTGCCACCTCCACCACTACTCATATTTGTCCTTTTTCAAGTCTCTTCTGCCATGTGCTTCGTGCTCTCCCACCTCACTCACCTTGCACAACTTTATGTCACTTCCCTCTCCTCTCCTCTCCTCTCCTCTCCTCTCCGCTCCTCCCCTCACTTCCCTTCCCCCTCATCCCAACAGGTGGAGCTGAGCCCATAATGCCTCCACCTCCCCCCTCTCCGCCTCCTTCGGGGAACACCCCTTCCAAGGGGGCCACACGCTCCCTCTCCCTGTTAACGGCTGCAGTGGTTGTCATCGCCACTTCCACGGCTCTGCTTGCTCTGGCTCTTCTCTAGAGCCTGCATTCATCCTGCAGTGCTTCGAGCCTGAGTCGACTGAAGAGCACCACACATTCTTGTATTGTGCTTCATTCCTGGCCTGCTTTAGGCATAGTAGTTGACCAAATGTTCTCTGTGTGAACACGGTGCTGGTGTCTACTAATGTAGTTTCAAAAATATATACTCGGATCCTCTAACTGACATAGTAAGGTCTGACATTCTTAGGGTTGAAGGATATGAATACCAAGCCGAGCAAAACCAGTATATGTATAGCAGGTACAGTTCAGCTTGGATAAACTGAAGATAGTGACCTAACGGAAGTGTAGGAGCCTAGAGAGATTGTTATTGTAGAATGTGCGTTTGTTTAGAGAAACACGTGGAGGGTCTATATGTTCCACGTCAGTTTACACGGGGATCAACGCCCAGGTTTATCGGATCTTTACGCGGGTTTCAAGCATTCAATTGGCTGAAGGACCTTTATTCGGCGTCAATTTCCACGCATCTGTCGTTTTTGTTTTCCACTAGATCATACAAGATGGACGGCGATGGTGCACCTAGGTTTGGGATCGATGCTGTAAAATGCGCGGTAACCCCTCAGTAGAATCGTGCAGCCACAACCGCAGGCACTTGAAGGTTTTGCGGAACCGTCTTTTGCCTTGTGGATCCGCCACGTGGTTCTGCTTCACAAGGCATTGTTCGTGCCTGACGGCCTTCAAATCAAAGCTGACAACCATCGATCTTATAAATAACGTCTCCATCCCACCTCAGTGTAGAATTGGGAGGAATTCAACTGGACCAGTTCGATCTCACTTTTCTGCATCTGGCGTTTCTCACTTCACAAAATGGCAGCCACCTCTGCCTCTCTTGCAGGTCAGGCTGTCCTCAATGGTGCAGCCCCCATTGATCTGCATCCAACTTCTGTGAAGAGCTCTTTTCTGCAGAGCGTTAAAGTTCTCGGATGTCCTCGGCCTGGAAGGCTTTCTGCCAGACCCATGAGATCTCCTGCTATGATTCGTAGTGTTGCGAGCGAGCCGAAACAAGCCAGTGAAGGTGATTTCCGCATACTCGCACACGTGGATTCTTTTCTGGATACTAGTCTCTCTCCAGCCGTCCTTCCCATATGAAGGTCATGTATACTTCCGTTTTGCTGTTCTTTATGCAGTCCCTCCGGTGGCCAGCCCATTGGCCGATTCGTCCGATGTCCTTTCCGTTGCCTCCAGCGTGAAGTACCACAAGGATTTCACACCGCTCTACTCCCCGGCTGCGTCGTCCTCACCCCAAGCTGCATACGTAGCCACAGCACAGAGCGTTCGTGACACTCTTATTGAACGGTGGAATGAGACTGCCGATCACTTCAACAAAACCAATGGGAAGGAGGTTGCCTACGTCTCGATGGAATTTCTGCAGGTCAGATGTCTTGCTTGTGTTATTTACAGCATTTTTTTTTTCAGCGACTGATTGCCTTTGTTCGTACTGTCTAATTCAGGGCCGCGCTTTGATCAACGCGTTGGGAAATTTGGAGCTCACTGGTTCTTACGCGGATGCTTTGAAGAAGCTTGGAGTGTCCCTCGAGGACCTTGTTGAGCAGGTGTGACGGTAACCATCATTTTAATTGGTAACGTCTTTGGGTTGTGGATTCATATTGATTCCACGTTTTCTATCTTCCAGGAGCCGAATGCTGCTCTGGGTAACGGTGGTCTTGGGCGTCTCGCCTCATGCTTCCTTGACTCAATTGCTACCCTGAACTACCCTGGCTTTGGTTATGGCCTGAGGTATAAGTATGGCTTGTTCCGTCAAGAGATCACTGAGGACGGGCAAAAGGAGTACGCCGAGAACTGGCTGGAGGTGGGCTCGTATATTTCGACTTTATGCCTCCAATTTAAACTTTGATTATTGTGTTATTAAGGTGGTTCTTTTCTTTTTGCAGACCGAGTACCCGTGGGAGGTAATTCGTCACGACATTCACTATCCTGTCAAGTTTTTTGGTCATGTCGAAGACGGTCCTGATGGCAGGAAGAAGTGGGTTGGAGGCGAGAACATGAAAGCACTCGCCTACGACCTTCCTATTCCAGGATACAAGTATGTGCAATCATTCCGCTAAATGTGGCTGCGATAGTTGTAGTTTCCGCAATTAGATGTTGTAACAGCAGTTGTCACTTTTCGTGGACAGGACCAAGAACACGATCAGCTTGCGCATGTGGTCGACTGAGATCTTGGCTTCTGACTTCGATTTGGCAGCATTCAACGCTGGCGAGCATGATCGTGCTGTTTCTGCACAAGCCAGTGCTGACAAGGTCAGCATTTTGCATGTAGATATTTAACCTGTCAAGCGTACAGATGTTGGTGCTAACATAATCTGTATTGCTGTACATACGAATCTCAGATCTGTGCGGTTCTCTACCCTGGGGATGGATCCTACGAGGGAAAGCTGCTCCGTCTTAAGCAACAGTACCTCCTGTGCTCGGCCTCGCTCCAGGTAGCTTATGTTTCCATTTTACAACGAGAGATTTTTGTCGGAAGGATTCTAAGTTTACGATCCTATCTCGATCCGTCGTTCCTTGTTTTTTCAGGACATCCTTGCTCGTTTTGAGGCTAGGAACGGCCCGAATTGGCAGCTGCTGCCCCAGAAGGTAGCCCTGCAGATGAACGATACGCATCCCACGCTCGCTGCTCCTGAGCTTATGAGGATTATGATCGATGAGAAGGGTCTCAGTTGGGACGAGGCCTGGAAGATCACTCAGGGGTACGTAATTTATTTTATTTTCCGTTGCAGCTGTTGCCGCCTTGGTTTGTTAATCGCACTAAAAACACTAACTGCTTGTTCGAAACGTTCAGGACTGTCGCCTACACCAATCACACCGTGCTTCCCGAGGCTCTGGAGAAGTGGGCCCAGGACCTGGTGAAGAAGTTGCTGCCGCGTCATTTCCAGATCATCCAGCGCATTGACGAGGAGGTGAGTGAACATGCAATGCTGTAGTATAGGAAGCAAATGCAACAACTACGGTTTCCCAGACGTCCATTTACGTGTGACTGCTGTTGAGAGTCTTCTAACCATTCAACGAACCGTACTTGCACATCAACCTTACCTGCACATCTACCCATGTTAACATCCCAACAGTTCATTGATCTCCTGGTGAAGACTGTTGGTCTAGGAGACCTTCCCCTGCTGGTGAACAAGATTCAGAGCATGCGCATTCTTGACGGGTCTGATTTCCCCCCCAAAGTGAAGGCTCTCATCGAGGCAAAGCAGAAGGAGAATGAGGAAGCTGAAGCAGCTGCTGAGGCTGCAGCCAAAGCAGCTGCTGTGGCGAAGGCAGCTGAGGAGGGTACAAAGGTTGAGAAGGAACCGAAAAAGGCTAAGAAGGAAAAGGTGGAGCTGCCGTACGTGAAGGGGCCAGAGGTGGTGCGCATGGCCAACCTTTGTGTGATTGCTGGGCATGCTGTGAATGGTGTGGCGGAGATTCACAGTGACATTGTGAAGGATGAAGTCTTCAATGACTTTTACCAAGTAAGTCCAACATGGTAAACAGTGTCTATGTCAAGTGGGGTAGCCATTGGTCATTGACTAACATACTCTCACTCTCATATGTTCTTTGCAGCTCTGGCCGGAGAAGTTCCAAAACAAGACCAATGGCGTAACTCCTCGCCGTTGGATGAAGTTTTGCAACCCTGAGCTCAGTGCTGTCATTACCAAGTGGCTGGGCTCCGATGATTGGGTTTTGAATGCCGACAAGCTTTCTGGCCTTGCTAAGGTATTTGTTCGGCCTAGTGCATGTGCTTACTCGGTTGCAAGTGTGAAATGTGGACCTTCAGAAGGAGTGGATTTGTGCTATGACTGACATACTCGTTTTCCTTTTCTTTTCAGTATGCTGACAATGCGGACCTCCAGAAGGAGTGGATTGCTGCCAAGCGTGCCAGGAAGGAGATCCTGGCTGCATGGATGAAGGAGAAAACAGGTTATACGATTAACCCTGATGTCATGTTTGACATCCAGGTCAAGCGTATTCACGAATACAAGCGGCAGCTCCTCAACATCTTGGGAGTTGTGCACCGCTACAAGAAAATGAAGGAGATGTCTCCAGAGCAGCGCCGTGCACACTTTGCCCCTCGTGCAGTGATATTCGGTGGCAAGGCTTTTGCCACATACGTCCAGGCAAAGAGGATTGTGAAGTTCGTCTGTGATGTGGCCAAGACGGTGAACAATGACCCTGACATTGGTGACTTGCTCAAGGTGAGAAATCTGATACTTCCCTAATAGGTTGCCAGGAGTCCTCATTGGCTTTAGCATACCTAACTGTGAAACAATTTTGCAGGTGGTATTTGTTCCTGACTACAATGTCAGCGTGGCAGAGGTTCTCATTCCAGCAAGTGAACTGTCCGAGCACATCAGGTCTGTTTACTCAATCCTTCCTTTCATACTTGCACAATTTTGTTCGGCTTTGTCTGACATTCATTCAAAGCGCATGTCTTCTCTGTCTTCATCCAGCACTGCTGGCATGGAAGCAAGTGGAACCAGCAACATGAAGTTCGCCATGAACGGGTGTCTCATTATTGGCACTCTGGATGGTGCAAACGTGGAGATCCGCGAGGAGGTCGGAGAGGATAACTTCTTCCTGTTCGGTGCCCGTGCTGAAGAGATCGCAGGCCTGCGCATTCAGCGCGCTGAGGGCAAGGTGAGTGGATGTTAGTTTCTTAAGCTTTAGTAATTATCGTGAGACGTGAGTCATCCTAATGCTAATCTGGACTGTTTGTGCAGTTTGTGCCTGACCCCCGGTTTGAGGAGGTGAAGGCATATGTGCGATCAGGTGTCTTCGGCTCCTACAACTATGATGACTTGATCGGTTCACTGGAGGGCAATGAGGGCTACGGACGTGCCGATTACTTCCTTGTGGGCTACGACTTCCCGGCATACATTGAATGCCAGGACAAGGTTGATGAGGCCTACCGCAATCAGGAGGTAAGATCTTTTTGCCTGGCAGAGTTTCACTGGTGGACAATTTGAAATCATGCTAACTGGCTTTGCTTTCTTCTTCGCAGAGGTGGACCCGGTCTTCCATTCTCAACACTGCCTTCTCTGGCAAATTCAGCAGTGATCGTACTATTCGTGACTATGCGAACGAAATCTGGGGGCTTGAGTCATCGCCTGTGCCATGAAGAATCCAAATGACGCGTAGCCGAATTGTGGAAGAGACCTGGTAACATCGTAGAAATGATTTCTTTGGGCAGTTCCATATTCACTCATCCACCATGTGATAGTTGCATGAAAAAACAGATATTTGAATCCTCAGTCCTCAAATGTCTCAAAATCTGGGGCAGATTTAAGTTGCACTGGTTGTCGTGTATCATTTGCTACATACATACCTACAACATAGTACCGTATCTGTCACCAAAAGTATTAGTGCAGAATGCCAACTGCGGAATGAATACGCAGTCAGACCTGAAGCTGACACTTACGGTTCCAAACCCCTTTCTAGCCAAGGTAGGCTGGGGTTTAAAAGTTCAGAAATATATATCTACAAAAAAGTGGCCAGGCCAGGGTCATGAACAGATGTTCCCTTGCACCTTGCACTTCCTAGGTAAGTGTTCAGGCCTCTATCCAGGGGAATAAGCTCCCACAATATCTTGTACTTATTGCATAGACTAGCAGCAAATTTACAGGCTTTAAGCAGGGTCAATTCACACATAATACCTGCAAAATGCTACCGTATGTCAAATTCCCATAGGACACGTACTGTCCATTCCTATTCATTCACATTCCAACTTGCACACTGTCTTCAACCGATCTTGTTAACCACAGTCTGATGTAGTGACCGTAACTGAGCAGACCATTTGTCCAGGGCCGTGTATGTCCGTTGACCTCTCGACCTGAAAACAAGCAGTGGATGGAGGTAACGTTGAAGGACAGAGCACGAGCACAACACGGTGCCAGATTGGCCAATATCAACACAAGGGTGCTTGTTACAGGTGTTCCTCTACACCCACAAGCAGTGGCAGGAAAAATGTCCCCCCATCATCACCTGTCACCGAGTTCCAGCAGCTGGTTGACTTGGTCTATGTGGCCATGCACTCTGTTGTCAAGAATCAGTGACACCAGCAGCTGCTCCACATCCTTCTCAGGGATGTTCAGCTCCTGGTGACCATCATAGGAGGGCGGAGGGGGAGAGGCGACGGAGGGTGAAGGGGAAGAGGAGCAGGGAGAAGGAGACAGGAAGGGAGAGTTGGGTTTTGCAAAGGGGATCATCACAAAGGGCCCACGACCGGCCCACGAAGGGCAGGCAAGGCTCACCTTGGAGACAAAGGGGATGCGGATGCGGGTGTAGGGCTTGATGAGGCGCAGCAGCACCTGCGTGCGGATGTTCTTGAGCAGGTCCTCAATGTACATGCGGATGAATGGGTCGTCCATTATCGTGCGCCGATTGCTCTGCTCCCACACACACACACACACACACACACACACACACACACACACACACACACATCCCCTCCCCTCCCCCCCTTCCCCACCGCCCGTGCACCAAACCTCTCCCCCTCCCCTCCTCCCCCCACCCCACACACACATGCACCCATGCCCACATGTGCGTCCACAGGCACACCCGCACACACCAGCACACAAGCACACGCAAAGAGGCTTAGACAAGCGGCGAAGATGAGATGTTGAATGGGATGGCTGGGCAGGAACCGAAGTTGAGTGGACTTTGACGTTCTGCATAACAACAAGGCCAGCAGAGGTTAGTATCAAAATACATTATTTCAATATCTTCCTGTGAGTGCTTGGTGATGCTAATTGCAGCATGCAGCATGTGGCTCTTGGCATGCGACACTTGGCACTTGGCATGCGCAGCATGTGGCTCTTGGCATGTGGCCTGGAACATGCCATACACATCGCATGTGACAACCAACCACCTGCTCGTCCCCAAATCAGGACAACCAACCACTTCTTTGCCCACACCCACCGCTGACCCCCTCACCTTAAGAATCTTCTCAAACTCCAGGATCTCGTTGCGCTGATATGCAGCCACTAGGTTGGTCATCGCCAAGATCTCCTTGTCGTTCTTGTACCTGGAGGACGGTGGGTAACAGACGCAGCAGGGGTGAGGCGGCTCGGGCGAGGAGCAAAGATAGAGGAAAGAATGGTAGTTTGAGAAAGAGAGACACATGAGATATCTGCCACTTCTACAGGACTGAGTGAGCACCAGTCACACATGAGACTTGCCAATCCAGCAGGCCCACTTATTCCACGCAACTCCCCTACCACACAAGCCCAACAGTCAGACCCGCAAGTTATCATATCAGACCCCACCCCCTAGCCCGTGGCCCATAGCCCCCGTTGCTCACGGCTTGGCTTCCTGTGCGTCAAATGGATCCACTTGTGACTCCATGAGCATGTTCGCCAGCACCAGGTACCTGCACCGGGTCATGGGGCGCGAGGAGTGGGCATGGGGCATGAGGCATGGGGCATGGGCAGTGGGGCAGGGGCAGTGGGGCATGGCGCATGGGACATAGGCAGTGGGGCATGGGGCATGGGGCATACGGAATAGCACGGGCGAGCATGCAAGAGGAGTGATGTGAATGCTCATGAATCGTGTCAACTAGGGTCCCAGAGTACATGGTGACCACTAAGCTTTGCTTTGTGAAATGACCGAGAGGGCTGGGAGTGGAGAGGGTACTGGGTAAAATGAGTCCACGAGACAAGAGTACAGTGTCCTTATGACAGTTATCATACCCGTAGGCCAAGCTTGAAGGTTAGCTCGGCCAAACAGCTTAAAAATACCTTCCCCAGCCCCCCCTCCTCCATCAAAACCCCAAACCCCGAATCCCCAGCAACCACCCACTCCCCCAACACCCCCTTCCCCCCCCAGCAGACAGCACGCACGCACTTGAGGCACTGGATGCGGCGCTGAGCGCCCGCCTCGTCATAGTTCTTGAATGCCTCAAAGAAGTCCGTGGCGGCGTCGGTCCAGGAGCGCTCCGCCATGTGCATCTTGCCGCCACACTCGTGGATGATGCCCATGATGCGCGGGTGCGGTATGGCCGACTTGATCGCCAGCGCCTTGTGGTACAGCTCCTGGCACGAGGAGAAGGGGGAGGGGAGAGAAGGGGGGTGGGGGGAGAGGAGAGAAGGGGAGCAGTGGTGGGCGGGGGACCAAGGGAGGGGGGGTGATGGGTGAGAGGACAGGGATTAGGAAGGGGTAGATGGGGAATGAGTGTTGGTGTATCAGAGGAACAAATCGATTCGATTTGTCAGACCACATGTTACCGCTTGACAGACGCTGAAGGCAGGAAACCTAGAATCAACAGAAACCAAACCCTGTCAGCACTAGAAAACAAGGGGTGAGTCAGAGCAGCAACCAGGAATTAAGTTGGGTAGGTGCATGGGTGAGCGTAGCTTGGGGAGAGGAGGAAAGGGGGAATTGGGAGGGAGAGGGAGAGGCACACGTTTGTGGGTGCTGTGTGTGTGCGTGTGTGTGTGCGCGCGCACGCAAGCGTGTGTGCATGAGAGCAGCAGCAGCAGCAGCGTGAGCGAGGCACCTTGAGCTTCTTGTTGTTCTTGGTCTCGGTGTACATCTGGATCTCAATGGCATACACCTCTAGCAGCTGCGAGCGTGCGTGCGTGCGTGCATGTGTTTGTGTGTGTGTGTGTGTATTAGAGCAGCAGCTCACCTTGAGCTTCTTGTTGTTCTTGGTCTCGGTGTACATCTGGATCTCAATGGCATACACCTCTAGCAGCTGCGAGCGTGCGTGCGTGCGTGCATGTGTTTGTGTGTGTGTGTGTGTATTAGAGCAGCAGCTCACCTTGAGCTTCTTGTTGTTCTTGGTCTCGGTGTACATCTGGATCTCGATGGCGTACACCTCTAGCAGCTGCGTGCCCTTCTTCTGGTCGTCCGTGCCGTCGTCCTTCTGACACGACTTGTGCAGCTCCTTCAGAATCTGAGGGACGGGAAGGACGATCGCAAGGGAGAGGGGGGGGTCGAGGGGAGGGTTGGTTAAGGTGAGGCGAAAGGGGAGGATTGGAAGGGGAACAGCTGGGTTGTTGTAACATGAAGGATAGTGAAGAGAGGGAGCAGATTGAGTGAGCGGGAAAATCAGGAAAAAAAGAACATTCAGTGCCAGGACAGCAATTGTGAGAACATGATGCCATAACCGTGGTGTGTGGGAACATGATGCCATAACCGTGGTGTGTGGGAACAAGAAGGTGGGTGAAGAGGGAAGAACAGCTACAGACATGCATGGAAAGAGGGGGGAATTGCCAAGTGAACAGCGTTTTTCTCCCTCCCATCACACCCTCCCTCCCCTGCATTCCTAAGCTCAACAAGCCCACAGCTAGCAAACTCCATGTCTTCGACATCTGCATTCATCCATCCTACTCTCGCCCGATCTCCTTCCATAAAAGACAAGACCACGAGGCTTCTCTAGCGCCGTCCCATGCACCTCCCCACCCAGGCCTCCCCTCAGTCCACCCCCTGTCTCCCTCTCCCTCTCTCTCTCCCTTGCTTGCGCACCTTGCTCATGCGGCCATACTCCCCCAGGTCGAACCACAGCTTGCACAGCTTCAGGTTCGTCTTGAACCACAGGCGCTGGTGTCGCCACAGCAGCGGCGGCACGGGCGGCAGGGGACAGGGTTGGGAAGCAGCAAAGAGGAGTGTGAGTGAAGAAAGGGAGGAGAGGGGGGGGGGAGAGGGTGGGACTGGGAGTGGGCCAGGGAGGAAGGGGATAGGGGATGAGAGGGAGCGGGCACAGGTATAGGGAGTATATGGTGCTGAGATGCGTCAACAAACTGAGGAGTGTGAAAGGTGAAATTAGAAATGCAAATGTGTCCTACACAAGTCACTTTCTCAAGGAGCAAACCGGCCCCTCATCGATCCCTCTCACCTCGCTCACCTCGTTCACCACTAGCTGGGCTTCCATCAAAGGCGCCTCAGAACTGCCTTCCATACCACACACCCCCATTGCCCCCCCTCGCTCGCCTCCCAGCAACCTCCCCACGTCTCATCCCCCCACCCACCCTCCCTCCCACTCCCCCTTCCCTCCCTCCACACCTCCTACCCCCCCCTTCCCACCTCGTCTCTTCCTTCCCCACCCTTCCCTTCTCTCCCACCTCTCCCCCCCCTTTTCTTCCCTCCCCCTACCTCATTCCATGCCTCTTCTCACACTCAATTCTCATTCCCAGGCGCCTTGAAACCCAACTCATCCCCAACCCCCCCTCCCACCCGCACAACCCCCCACCCCCCGGCTTTTTTCCCTGCCCACCTCACCTCGTTGCGCGCCTCCTCCAGCGCGAGCAGCGTGGTCTGGTAGAACTCCTGCAGCAGCTCGAGGTTCTGGCTGGTGCTGACCACGTCCAGGATCTTGTTGATGCACTTCTCGCTGTAGTTGCGCGTGACGGCGCTGCGGATGTACGTGAGCATCTCGCGGTAGGCCGCCATCATCTCCGCCACCCGCCCCTCCCGGTAGTGCAGCTTCACCGTCTGCTTCAGCGCCTTGAAGCCCCTGAAGGGGAGAGGGGGGGAGGAAAGCGGGGGAAGGGGAAGAGTGGGCGGGAGAAAGTGGGGGAAGGAAGGGAAGGGGGAGAGAGTGGGACGGAGAGAAGGGGAGAAGGAGGGGGGAAGTGGGAGAAAGTGTGGGGGGGCGAAGGGTGACGGCGGAGCGGATGTAAGTGAGCATCTTGCGGTAGGCCATCCACCGCCACTCGCCCCTCCCAGTAGTGCAGCTTCACCGTCTGCTCCTGGTAGAGCGGGGGGGAGGGGGAGAGGGGGGGGAAGGGGGAAGAGTGGGCGGGGGAGGGAGGGGAGAGAGGGGGGGAGAGTAAGAGAGAGGAAGAGGGGAAGGCGAGGGGGGGTTAGTGGGAAGGGGGAGAGAGTGAGCGGAAGGAGGAAGGGAGGGAGAGGGGGAGAAAGAAGGGGGGAGTGTGGCGGAGAGAGGAGAGAGAGTGTGGGATGAAGGAGAGGAGGGACAATAGTGAGAACAGGTAAGGCTGCAGAGGAGAGTGGGCTAACCCTCTTCACTTGAAGAGGGCAAGGCACAGCGGAAAAGAGTGCAGGAAAGCGAGGAGTGCATGTGCTGGTGGCGCCTGAAAAGCGAGGAGTGCATGTGCTGGTGGCGCCTCAAAAGCGAGGAGTGCACGTGCTGGCTGGTGCACGTGCAGGAGCACACACGTACGTACCACTCGCCCTTCTCCCCCTCCATCTGCACCACCTCCGCGAACCCCGCTAGCGCCGCCTCTGTGTCCCGCTCCACTAGCCCTGCCGTGCCATGCGCGGCGTGGGGGGACGGGGAGGGGGTGGGATGAGGGGAAGGGTGGGGGGAAGCGGGGGACGGGGGAAGAAAGGAAGGAAGGAGAAGAAGGGAGGAAAATGCGTGAAGAGAAAGGGGAGTGAGGGTGGTTCTTATGAGGGAGGAGCGGGGAGGGGCAGGAAGGGGAAGGACTGAAGGAAAGAGGAGGGACAGCAGCAGGACAATTCCACGTCAGTGACGGAAGCAACCCAATGGAACACATGCGAGCACATGCGAGGATTTGCAGTGCGCAGAAGGGATCACACGAACGCGAGCAGCAAACGGATGCACGTTACTCCCTATCATCATGTTCTGGAGTGCGAGTATTCATGCCTCTTCAGCTTGCGAACGGATTCCGTCAACGTTACTGTTACCTTTGGAGTTGTAGTACTGATTCTCAATGTCAACATCCTGCTCCTCGGGCTCGTCGTCCGAGTACTCGAATCCGTAATCCTCCATGTCTGCTACCAGATTAAGGTCAAACCCCACCAATGACGACGGAAGGGAACGTAAACGGGAAGGGATCGAGATGAAGAACAACTGGGAGGGATTTAGATGGAGAGGAGGTCGATCGATGGAATTTAAACGAAGAATCACATCGAGATTCGAGCTTCGTATATCGTAACCTCAGTGGAACTGGTGCTGCCTGCCTGACCACGTAGTGACACATCAACGGACACGATTTTTTCGTCCGCTCCCAGGGGAAATCAGATGCCGATATGGATGCGATCGGGCGGAGCGATGCCGTGCTAAGACGGATGTCGCAAAAACATTGCATCCGGAAAAGAATTGGATGGCAATCGTACGCGCGCGTGATCAATCTGCGTCTAGAAGGTAAAGGACGTCGAGGCGCACCTTCATCCGCCATGGCTGCTTCTCGGCGAAATGAGCGGCCTCGAGTCCCGGAAAGTGAACAACAAAAGGCCGGGAAGGTTAACACCACCAAGAGCTAAAGCGCCACTTGAGAAGCCGCAACCCGAGGGATCCTAGGGAGGTAATTTATCACAGAAGTTGGACTACCGAACCAGCTTGTTCTTGGCGTTCTGCGGTAGGGCATCAAGGTTCCTCCTGAGGTGCAGGGCAGCAAACTATGGGCCTGAAAAAGTTGCATGAGTGTACTCTCCTGTGAATGATTTTGTTTCCCTTTTACACACAAGGATCTTATTAGCGTTTTCAATTATTCCTTGACCTTGCCCTGGCGCTCTGTCTGTGGGCATCTTGCACCCCTCCAATGCCCTGGATTCATTCTTGGTCTAATGTTGTGCCCCCAAAACGCACAATTTTGACGAGATATAGCTTGTAGCAATGCCAGAAAGGTAGCACATTACCAAGCTGTTCAACCTTTTTAAGGTTTGGGGGGTGTACAGAAGTAACGCTGGTGTTTTGCACGAGAGGCTGTTACGATTTCGCCCAGCCCTTCGCAAGTGAGGGCTAACACACATCATCCATCAAGATTACTGTAGTAATGTTGACACTTGCGGTGCGATCCGCAATTTGGGCTGCGGGCTTTGAAGGGGTATCTCCCGCCCGCCATGTCAGTAGTGACTTCACAATGCACCTTTCTGACATATTGCAGCTGACTTCCATTAATGCATACGAATTAGCTGCACTTATTCGTGTGCATAAAAAAAGGGGGACCCTAACTAGCAGGCTACTACCTCACCTTATACAGGCGCTTTAGATTTCAACACGCATCCAGCACACAAGCATACATCACAAACACATCAATCACACCCACTGCAACATCGTCAATCTTTCCGCCCACCATCAACCCGAACTTCAGTCAACCCGGCCACCACAACGCCCGAGCTCATGCCTTTATTATCCCCAAAGTGCTCTGCCTCAACAGCCAGCAATCTCTCGCGCACGTCGCGCATGCTGGGCCGCTGCTCCACCACCTCCTGCACGCAGTCCGCTGCAATCTGCCCCAGCAGCTGGAACGCCCCCGCAAAGGTGCGCGAGAACACACGCGGATCCGCGATGAGGTGCACGTCGCCCTCGTGCACGTAATGCACCGCCTGGACACGTGAGATGCGTAGGATCGCCGCACACAATGGGGCGGAAAGAGGAAAGACAAGGGGAAGGACCAGCCGCAGGGGCGGGCGGAGAGGCAAGCGGGGAGTGGGAGGAGGGTAAGTGGACTTCGGGCAAGAGGCACAGACATGGTTCTGTGGTATACAGGAAGCGATCAAGCAAGGTAGCAGAGTCGGCAGAGATACTGAAGGGTGGATACATTGGTGGATGCGATGCATGGGAGTTAAGATAGTGGAAAGGGAGCAATGGCGCTGACCCATTCCGTGATGCGCAGCCTGTTGTCCGCGTCGTCGGGATCAGGCACCACAGCTCGCCGCCCCGTGATGAGCTCCAGGAGAATCACGCCGAAGCTGCCAACAGGGGAGCCACCGCACACAAACCAGAAAACAACGTGGGGTCAGAAAAGCAGCGAGGTTACAGCTAGTATGGCTGGCTACAATGACAGTCATTTCTCAGATGCAGCCTCCCCTTTCCCCCAGCACCCCTGCTCGTCCCCCATCCCCGCGCAGACCCTGTTCAGCGCACCTGTACACGTCCGTGTGTTGCGGGGTGAGAGCGGAGGGCGCGAGCAGCTGCGTGGCGGGGTCGCGGTAGCCCTCCTCGTTAAGCGCCTGTGGCACGGCGTTCAACCGCCCGCCCTCGCCGTGGTGCACGAAGCAGAAGTCCGCGATCTTGGGCTGCCGCGCGGTAAGGGCGGAAGGGCGGAAGCGGCAGGGGGAAGGGGGGAAAAGAGGGGGAAGGGTGCGGAGCAACGGGGCAAGGTTAGGAGTTGACAGGTAGACGCGAAGGCCTGCAGGCAACGCGTTCGGTGTTAGAAGCAGGGCAGCACGGGGGCGAAATGACTCTAGGGCGGATGACGAGCGGTTGCACGGCTGCAGCAAGGCAGCGTGGCGGCGTGGTAGCGTGGCGGCGTGGCGGCGTGAGCGGGGAGCGCACCTGGCCGTCGGCGGTGAGCATGATGTTGGACGGCTTGAGGTTGCGGTGCAGCAGCCTGGGCCGCTGCGAGTGCATCCACGCCAGGCCCTCCGCCACCCCGATCGCCACGCGCACGCGCTGCTGCAGAGGCATAGGAGAGTCTGCGGGGAAGGGGGAAACGAGGTGCGGGAAGGGCGGCGGGTGGAGTAGAATGCTTAGAGAGAATGCACACTCGGCACGTGTCAAATAGTTCATGTAGGCGCGACTATGAGCGCAAGTAGCCTGAAGAGCTGCAGCGGCGGCGCAAGAACAGGCTTCGTGGCGATTAGATTCTCAGAACTTACTGCCGGCGGTGAGCAGGTTATCGCGGAGCGACCCGTGCGGCATGAGATGGTACACCACGAGTCGCTCGCTCCCCGCGCAGCAGAACCCGACGATGCCCACGATGTTGCGGTGCGACCGCCGTGCGATCGCCTCCACCTCATCCACGAACGACGGCTCGGATTCCCCCGCCGCGCCCCAGTTGAAGCGGTGGAAGCGCTTCACCGCCCACTCCAGCCCGCCGGGGGCCTCCGCGCGGAACACCGCGCCGTAGGCTCCGCTGGTGTTGGACGGCGCGGCGAGGCGGCGCAGCACGTTGAAGCCGCTGGTGGCGCGGCGGAGCTCGTCGAAGGTGAAGCGCACGCACTTGGACTTGGAGGACGGCGTGGACGGCACGGCCGAGTCGATTCCGCCTTCGAACGACAGCTCCTTGCCGGCCGCTGGCGGGACGGGCGGGGGAGAAAGGGGAAGGGGAGAGAGGGGAAGGTTTGAAATGCGTAGCAGCAGGCCTGGAGGCGACGCTGACGAGAGGGTGGGAAAGAAGCGTGCGAGAACGAGAGAGGAGGACAGGACGGGGTTGAGGCAGAGGCAATGGCAGTACGGGTGACAGGCGGGGATTGAGAAAGATTCTGACTGATTAATCCAGTCTAACAGAGTTTGTTATCATCTGTAAAAACAGGGTTGGCGGCAAGATAAGCTTTTGGATCTTACGAGCGAGCCGGCGCTTGTACATGACGAGGATGGCGATGAGAATGGCGGCCATGACGGCTACAGGCACGGCGATTATCACGACGAGAGAGAGCGGCGACGGGGAGGAAGACGAGGAGGAGGAGGACGCGTCGCCCGATGCTAACACGGAGAAGAGGCCGCCGGCCGCGTCTGCGCCGTCGATGGGCTCAACGGATACGCCATCGACGATCGTGCTGTTCTCAGCCGAGAGTACTGTGAATACGACCGCCGTCTTGTCACCGCTCGCCGCAACCTCCAGAGTGCCCTGCGCGTACCCGTTCGCATCCACGCTCGCGGCATCGGCGGAGGAGAAGGAGGCGTTGGCGCCGCCGAAAGAGACCTGCATGAGCAGCGCGCGCTGCAGCGGTTGTCGACGCGCGAAAAAGAAGCTCAGGCGGTACCGCCGGCCGGGTTCCGTGGAGATAGACTGCTCCGCCGCGCCCCATAAGCAGCGCTCAGGGTTGTCGCAGCCGCCGAGCTGCAGCACGCAGCTGCCATCGTACGGCGGAGGGGCATCGGAGGACGCGGGGCGGATGTCGAGACGAGATGTGGCGGAGGCGGCGAGCGAGGTAGAGGATGTCTGGCAGATGGGATGTGCGAACGACCATAGGTGCCAGCCGGAGGCCTGTGATTGCTGCAGCTGCTCAAAACTCGGGTCGCTCACGAGATCTGCGAGAGGAAGGCAGGGAGTACGAATCGGGGTGAAAAGGTGAGAACGAGGTGGAACGGATAGCGGACGATGCGGAACAAGCGTTGTCGTGATCGTGCTGGTGGTTAGGGAATGACTCGCTGCTAAAAGAACGCTACAAAAAGAGAGCGCCCACCTGAATCCGTCATTCCAAGTGCTGCAAACGCTGTAAGCAGCAATCCTATCAGTAGTGGCGCGGCGACGCTATTTTGGCCACCCATGGCGCAGGGTACAAACACTTCCTACACGGAGAACTGATGTGATCTGTTATGTAGTCTCAGATTCAGGTATAGATAAGGAGGAGAGAATAATTGCAGGTTGTATCTCCGACTTAGTTGTTTACGACATGGATGAGAACGGACGGTTTATGTGTTGCTGTTGTTGCTTGGTTCGAATGGAAATAGTTGGATTGGGAGTGAAGTCAAGGAGGTGGTGAGGCGAGGGGTGACCATGCAGGGTGGATGGATCCACATGTGCAAGCTGTAATGTATTGACTTCCCACACTGACTCGCACGCACACTGCCTTGCAAGAATTCCCTCCCTCATCGCAATTCAAGCAGCGCCGCGTCAGCTCATCCCTGTCAAGTTTTCTCCCCCGAGGTCCTCCCTACAAATATTTCAGCCAATCACGTTCGACTCAACCATTTTGAGATTGAGATGCGCGATGTGGTTCTCTCCACTCCGTTCCCCCTCTTGCTGACGCATCGCCGAAGACTACGATTTGTCGAGCATCGGGCGCGCCACTGTGCCTGGTCTTGGGTTTCTGCACTGCGGGTTTCACAGGGGCAAGAGTGGGCAGTTCTTGAAAGGGTCCAGCCAGGCCAGTAGCGAGAGAGTCAAACAAAACAGCACCTGGCTTTTGCTTGAGGATTGATGTCAAGCTCTGGACTCATTTGAGAGCTGGTCACGAGAGTTCAGATCTCTATCGTTTCACCACCTTAAACCGCTTCTCACCAGCCTGAACACCTACCTGAGCTGTAAACGATCTGTACGAAGTTGCCTTTCAAAACCGTCCTTGCTCTGATGGCACTGGCGAGCATCTGAACAAGGTGGTGCAGGCCTGCTCTCTGGCTAGTTTTCAGTTCTGAACAATTGGCTGAAAAAAACAAAACTTCACAGGGTGCAGTCAAGGGGGGAACCAATTCAGGCAGGATAAACGTGCCAGTGTTGGCAAGAAATACAGTAAAAACTATCTGTTGGAAGTGTCTGGCCCAATTCTTTGAAAAGCCAATTGCGTTTCTGTACGGAGGTTTGACGCTTGACGAAGGCACAGTCCCCAGCACTGATTGGAGAAAAGCTGGGGCCCCGATGCGCGGTTCGGTCAGCAGCTTTTCGTTGACGGGAGACGTAAGGTCGCACGCTAGTTTTAGGCTCAAACGACCTCGTTTCCTCCACACTTGGTGCAATGTCATTTTTAGAGTGCGAATCACTTGAAACAGGCCCTTTAACCCGAAGGATCCAAGATTCCGAACACTGCCTTACAAATTCGTCAAGGACAAGACTTCAAATGCCTGTTCTTCGTCGCTATCCGGGTATCGAGGGGGCGAAAATGCCAAAAAGGGGCGACTGTTCTGTTATGAACTCCAAACGAAAGTGAACTTTCGATAACGACACCTTAACGAAGTGCAGGAATTGCACTCACAAAACACCCCTGTTGTGTGGCATGCACGCCCCTTATTTGGAGTTCTACAACAAGCATAAGCATTTTATGACATCACCAAAGAATGCTACCGATAAGCCTCCGGACAAAGGCGCAACGCAACCTTTCTCATACTGTACTTTTTCATATAAAATAACCACCTGTGGTGGGTATCGTACTCTCCCAGACAGAGCCACTGACGGAGGGCTTGTAATTAAAAACAAAACAAAACAACAATATATTTTTTTGTCTCATGACGTATCTTACCAAGCTATTTTAGCAGTGTGGCAACGGTTTTGCAGTACAATTCTGATTTGGAATTTTGGACAATGGGAAATACGGTTTAGCCATGCACTCCCAAATTTGGGCAGGGGCGTTCATACAAGGGGGATACATAGGTAAGACGTAATGGTTCAGTAAACCAATTTATACGTATTTGGTATTTCACTATGTACATGTACTTTATATTTACAGATACGGTACTGGCACAACCATCCAAAATCAATCCCATCATGTAAAACTCATTTCTTGTTAGCACTGTTGGGGGATCAAGTATGATTCAAAACAGCTTGGTATATACATAAATATATGTCAGATTACAATTGTATCTCTAGGCTACAGTAGGGTCACTCCTTAGTGAGTACAACACTTTAGGGTTAGGTTTCCTCTACTTGTACTCACCTCTTGCCTAGTTCAATCATTCATTCCTAGTTCTATTCTTGACATGTTATCAGAGTAGGAACCGTTCCTACATGGGCCCACCGTTCCGCCTAGTAGTAGCGCCACACCCAACACAGTAGCCAGCGCGCTGGCGCCCTTAGCTCTCACTGTCGCGACCCTTGCAGCCCGTGCGTTGCCCCTGCGACCGCGCTGCCCCTGCAGCCGTGCTCGCCCCTACGACCGTGCTGCCCCTGCAGCCGTGCTCGCCCCTGCTACCGTGCTCGCCCCTGCTACCGTGCTGCCCCTGCAGGCGCGCCTGCCCCTGTGGCCCGCGCGCTGCCCCTGCAGCCCGTACGTCGCTCCTGCGGCCCGTACACGCTGCCCCTGCAGCCCGTTCACGCTGCCCCTGCAGCCCGTTCACGCTGCCCCAGCAGCCCGTTCACGCTGCCCCTGCAGCCCGTTCACGCTGCCCCTGCAGCCCGTTCACGCTGCCCCTGCAGCCCGCGCGCAGACCTACCGAGCCGCGCGTCGCCTCTGCAGCCCGTCCGCGCGGCCCCTGCAGCCCGCGCGTCGCCTCTGGAGCCCGCGCGCCGCCTCTGCGGCCCGTTCGCGCCGCCCCTACAGCTCGCGCGCGGACCTGCCGAGCCGCACGTCGCCTCTGCAGCCCGTCCGCGCGGCCCCTGCAACCCGCGCGTCGCCCCTGGAGCCCGCACACCGCCCCACGAGTCGCGCGCTGCTGCCTCGCGTGTCGCGCTCTGCTGCAGCCCGCGCGTCGCGCCCTAAGGCAGCCTCTCGCGTCACGCACTGCTGCAGCCTGCGCCAGCGCCCTGCCCTGCGCGCACTGGCGCCCTGCCCTGCGCCAGCGCCCTGCTATACCCTAAATATAATTAAATTGTAAAAAAAAAAAAAAAAAAGGGCCCTAGGTGCTTTTGCCTTAGGAGCTACTGCCTACTACTGCCCTGCTGTGGCCGCGCGCCGCCCTGCTGCAGTTACTACTGCTGCTGCTGCTACTCGTGCTACTGGGAGTGGTGGAGGTGCTGCTGGGAGTGCAGGAGGTGCTGCTGGCGCTGTAGGAGCTGGAGGTGCTGGACCTACTCCTGACCGTCACTGTCTGTCATGGCCACTTCCGCGGCAGTTGTTGCGGCCAGGGGTGGACAGCAGCGGGCACTGCTTCTCCCGGACGACCCCACCCCTCGGCAGCTTCGTGAGTGGGTTATTCAGCGAGGTCATCCTGGTGGTGGAGGTTATCGTTCTGTTAGGACTGCTGCTCTAGGTGCTAGTGAGTCTGCTGCCGCTCCAGGTGCTAGTGAGTCTGCTGCAGCTCTAGGTGCCCGTGCGTCTACCGACGCTCTAGGTGCTAGTGCGTCTACTACCACAGGTCCTGCCTCAGATGAGGTCTTGCACACTTTCACGCTTGACTCAGGCGCGTCACGTTGCTTCTTTCGTGATTGCACCACAGTCACACCACTCACAGCACCTGTCCCAGTCTCACTGGCTGACCCCTATGGGGGCCCAGTGGTTGCGAGAGCCTCCACGGTCCTCCCTTGTCCAGCAGTCCCCTCCGGCTCTTTGTCAGGTCTCCACCTCCCCACGTTCTCGACGAACTTGGTGAGCAACGCTGCCATTCAGGATGTCTGGGTTGATACCTTTATTCATGGAGGGCAGCGTGTGGCGATCTGTACGTGCTCCCGGACTGGCCGTCACCTGGCTACGTTCACTCGACAGCCTGGGTCTAGTCTGTACACACTCACCACTGCGTCTGCACAGGTGGCTGAGTCAGGTCAGGTAGCTGCGTCGAGTCGAGCGTCTGCGTCAGGGCAGTTAGCTGCGTCTTGCTCGTGCAGAGTACTCACGCACGAGACTCAGCGCTGGCACCACCATCTTGGTCACCCCTCCCTGCAGCGTCTGCGCGGCATGCACTCCCGGCTCCTGGTCTCTGGCCTCCCTGAGACCCTGCCCCCCCTCCCGCGCTCACTTGCGCCGCAGTGCCTTCCTTGCGCCGAGGGGCGGCAGCGCGCCGCTCCTCACTCCTCCGAGTTTCCTCCGACCACTACTCCTCTGCAGACTCTCCACCTGGACGTGTGGGGCCCGGCCCCCGTCGGTGGGACGGACCAGGAGCGCTACTTCCTGCTGGTTGTTGACGATTACACACGCTACACCACAGTCTTCCCCTTGCGTCGCAAGGCGGACGTCAGCGGTGTTTTGATCCCTTGGATCCGTGCTACTCGTCTCCAGCTACACGCGCGCTTTCAGCAGGACTTCCCAGTCCTGCGTCTGCACTCTGACAGGGGTGGTGAGTTCTCTTCTGGCATCCTTGAGACGTTCTGCCAGGATGAGGGCATCGCCCAGTCGTTCACGCTTCCGGCCTCTCCGCAGCAAGATGGGATCGCTGAGCGTCGCATTGGCCTGATCATGGAGGTTGTTCGTACCTCCATGATCCATGCGGCTGCTCCCCATTTCCTGTGGCCGTTTGCGGTCCGATACGTCGCGCATCAGCTCAACCTCTGGCCCCGTATCTCTGCTCCAGAGACCTCGCCCACACTCCGTTGGACGGGACAGCCTGGTGATGCGTCGTCGTTTCGGGTCTGGGGCGCGCTCTCCCTTGTTCGCGATACCAAAGCGAGCATACTCTCTCCTCGCACTCTCCGCTCTGTCTTCCTGGGCTTCCCCACCGACGCCCCGCCCTGGCAGTTCTTCCACCCTACCTCGCGTCGTGTTCTGTCCTCTCAGGACGTCACCTTCAACGAGTCGGTCTGTTACTACCGACTTCACCCGTACGCGTCCCACCCGGCCCCCCTTGCACCCCTCTTCCTGGTACCAGTCCCCCCCCCCCGGTAGACCCCCTCCCCCCACAGGGTCCTGCTCCCTCAGGTGTGTCCCAGGTAGACCCACCCCCCTTGGATGAGCCAGTTGAGATCTCTT